CTCTCTCTTTATATATATATCTTTCTCTTCGTAGTATACATTTTCCATCTATGTTCCTCCATACCATATTCCGCCTCGAATCTATCCTTCTTTGTCTCTATATTCTCTGTATGTTCTTTTGCCTCTCCAAACGAGTCTTTCTCTTCAATTCTTCGTCTTTCATTCTTCTGTAAGGTCTTTCCATCTCGTTTTCGCATTTTCTTTCCGCTTCTCCTCTATCTCACTATCTTGTCCCTCGTTTATGCTGTTTCCCCTATATCACATCGTCTCTCTCTCCCTCTCTCTCTCTCTCTCTCTCTCATGTTCTTTAGACATCTTTCTCTCTTCTGCCTTTGCTGCCACTAGTTTGCTCTCTCGGTCAATCTCCTTAGAACCCCTTCGTCTCTTGTTGTTCGTCTCTCTCCATCCCTCTGGACTTCTCCTCATTCATTCCACCCGTTCCCCCTATTTCTCTCGTCCCTCGGCAAGAACCAGTACCATCGCACACCTACGCCACCACCCTATCACTTCCCCGATCGTCCTTTTCCACGCTTCTAACTGGGAGTGCGCCCTCAACTCTCCTTCTCATTCCTTTCTCTCTCTCTCTCTCTCTCTCTCTCTCTCTCTCTCTCTCTCTCCCGTTCTTTAGACATCTTTCTCTCTTCTGCCTTTGCTGCCACTAGTTTGCTCTCTCGGTCAATCTCCTTAGAACCCCTTCGTCTCTTGTTGTTCGTCTCTCTCCATCCCTCTGGACTTCTCCTCATTCATTCCACCCGTTCCCCCTATTTCTCTCGTCCCTCGGCAAGAACCAGTACCATCGCACACCTACGCCACCACCCTATCACTTCCCCGATCGTCCTTTTCCACGCTTCTAACTGGGAGTGCGCCCTCAACTCTCCTTCTCATTCCTTTCTCTCTCTCTCTCTCTCTATCTCTCTCTCTCTCTCTCTCTCTCTCTATCTCTCCCCTTTTTCCCTCTTCCGCTGCTCCATCGCGTCTCTTCATCTATTCGTTTACCCTTCCTCGCTTCTTTTGCCCATTCCTATCTTTCCTTCGATATGCACCCTACGTCACTATCACCCTCCGTCGCGAGACCGAAACTCCCTGGAGAAACGTCAAGGAGCCGAGTATCGGCGGAATCCTCCGCAAGGAACCGCACACCTTCGCAATCTTCCATCGACGATGTCTTCAATCACACATTTACGACCTACAATCTTTTTATTAAGTCTCGCGACTGGCACATGTCTGCCAATGCGAATAATTGACAAGTATCTTACTCGATTGATCGTGTTAATTGTAAGGCAAGTTTCAAGTGAATGACATAATAGTGCTGTCGGCATTACAACATTGCGTGATTACGAAAATATATGTTAATATTTATATATTATTTATTTTTACCTTTACCTTTTTCTATTTTAAAAGAGTGAAGAGATTAAGTTTTTTGAATAGACACTTTTTCATCGATTAAAATGTTCCTAATTTTAAACATAATTAATATTATAATTTTATTCTCGCGTTAAGAAACAATGATCGAATATTGATTTTAATAAAGTGCGCATATATATATATATACTTGTCTTTGTTTCTATATTTTTTCTTTTTCTCTCTCTCCCTCTTTCTTTTTCTCAGACTAATTTATTTAGTTTTTTATACTTTATAATATCACATTTTTCGCGATATTATATTAATAAAATACTGATCTAATTTATTCATTCATAACAACAATTTTATTTCAAAAAATCTAAAGTTGAAAAAGATTCAAGATATATAGGATACGTAAACATTCAAATTCGCGGCTTCGGAGGTCGGTTCCCCAATTAATCGATCGCACAAACGACGGAAGATTTATCTACTAAGTATCGAGTGACAGCCATCTGCGCATTATCCTCCCACGATTTCAGCACGAGCGAGTGCGTGAGTGAAAGAGGATCGATTGGCATATGCAGACCCAATTAGGGATACAGCCGAGAATTACGAAAGTACCTTACACCATCGTTAAATTACTTTCTTGAAAGAGACGAGTTTCATAACGAGATCCCAATTACTCTCGCGAATAATTCCGCGCTATTAGAAGCGCGGTCAATGATCGCGTAAAACGTTTAACCGAGCGATTGCGCGACATAACGCAAATTTCCGCTGCAACGACGGCTTCCTGATTTTTTCTGAATGCGATTTAAGCGCCAAATAAGAGAGAGAAACGAGAGAAAAAATAGCGAGATTGCACAATACATAATAATATCGATACTTTTATCTTTGAATTTATCGTCAAATACAATCAAGCTCAACTGATTTCATTTTTAATTGAAATTATGTTTGTTTTTGAAATTGCAAATATATAAAGATTTAAAGAACAGTGATGATAAGAAACTCTTAGGTGTAATTCTTGTTTAATATATGTATTTGATGCAAATTTCGATTATTTCGTTTTGCATAAACATTGAAAGCGTTTAACATATAATTAAATAAATTACTTGAAAGTTTCGTATCTCTTGCAAGTAAAGTGGAAATTACTATTGAGTGATTAGCCGATGGTAAGCTTGCGAGTATTATGTTAGTGCATTATCGACGTTAGGATGAAGGTTTTAAATGTTCTCGATCGAGATGTCGATTTATATCGAGATAAATTCGAGACTTATTAAAACACTTTGAGATGCTTTTCAGCGGATAGATTTTTTCTAGCTTTTTCCAGATGATGCAAGAATGTAACAAATTGCGGATACTCTTTTTACCGCTGGCATTAATTAATTGAAATAGGATAGTGAGAGAAAACGAATCGAAAAAGATTTACACGAAGATATATAAAAGCGAAAAAGAATAAGCAACAAAAAGGTGACCTGTTCTAGAAGAAGCAAGGCACCCCGAGTATTCTGGGACGCTCGTTGTCGGTTTCATTGTTATCGACCCGCTGGGATCTCTGACGCCATTGCTAACGTGATCACGTCGTAGCCATCACGTTTCTACCACACAAGCAACACCTTCCTACGCTATGATGTAGTTTCGTATCCTTCTGCGAACTGTCATAACAGCCTTGAAATGTATTCCGGTTTAAAAGAGAATTTTTGCTTTTAGAAAAATCATCAGAAGAAAATTTCTCTGATTGAGATCAGATTTTATTTTCTGATACTGTGTAAAAAGTATCTATTAGGTCTTGAAATTGTTCTTTAATTTAGTTGTGTCAATACTTATGTATCAATACTTATACAGGCAGGTAAATAAATTTAATTGAAAAAGCGCAGAACTTTTTTAAATAAAAACTTGATTATCTTAACTTAATACTTTCAATCGTTACAATTTGTTTTTCTGTTAATGTTCTTGATCGTTACACAAAGCAGTTACTTTTAAATGTCGTATAAAAAATATACTTTTCTTGAGTTTTTAACTTCTATTTAATTCATACTTGCTTTCAACTCGCAGTTTCTTTAAAATGTGTCACCGTAATATTCTATAATAACTTGTAATCGAAACAAATTTTTAAATTTTTTCATTTGATTTTTCATATAATAATTTTCTTCGCATAGATATTAACAATAATTTCTTATTTCTTACCATAAATAACATTTTCATAATTATATATAACTACATATTTTATTGTATCTCACACAATAATATCGTTATAAAATAATAATAGCTTTTTCAATGTTATAAATATCTGAATGCTGAACATTGTGAATTACATTTTATTTCACATATAAATTTCATATTTCTTATCGTTTCTCTCACAATAAGCAGCAAAAATTTATGTTATACTTGACCATGAAGAACGGGTTGCATATAACTAGGCTATAAAGATAAATACGATAGAGCAATAGCTTTCTTGTGCTAATTTAACTAATCGGCAAAACGCGTGTTAAAACACTGAAGATAATAGATAAAAGCAGTTTTGACCTTTTTAATTTTCATAGCGATGTTCTTTTCTGCATTCTAGTCACGTGTTGTAATTTTTTATGACGAGATGAAGTCGTGATAACATTGTCACTAACGTTTCATAGTTCTGAGCGATGACTATTACTTATATTATGACTATTACTTACAATGTTGCATCTATTTATAAATGCAGCATAATGCTTGTTATTAATATTGTTCATATAATTAACGTTTTCTTTATTTATTTATAACTTATTAATTTCTCATGTAATAAAATATAGAATTTGAATAAGCGTGTGTTTTGTGTAATAATATAAAAATGATAAAATAAAATACTAACTATTTAGGATTCAGTGTGGTACGACAAGTTATATCCTCATGCTTCACATGATCGTGTTCACACTTCACGCACTGGAAGATTTGGTTTTGACTTTCTAGAAAATTTACGTAAAAATTTTTGTCAATCATGGTTTTGCATGTCTGCAGATAACATGCCATATTTTATAAATCTCATATGTGCTATAAAATGTCCCGAATTGTATCTACCGCATCATCCTACGCCAGAAAATATAACATCAATATCAACTTCAATATTAACTACAGGTTCTGCAACAATCAAAACAACAGGTATAAAAAAATGTATATTGCTGTATTAAAAAAAATATCTATTCTCAAATATATCCATTATTCATAATCACTTATCTCTTACAAATATAAGAGATATATATAAGATCTAATATATCTCTCTTATATATATGTATATAAGAGATATAAGAGATATATATAAGAGACAGCCAAATAATTCTTTATTTTTTCATGGTTACTGCAAGAGAATGGATATAATTATAGATTTTATATGTGAACATGATGTTTATAGATAATCAAATTAAAATTCTTTTTTATAGTTGATAATAATAAGATTAAGCATTTATTAGTATCAAGTAATCTAATGTTCTTGTCAATTATGAAAAAGATTACAAAATCAAATTTGCAGTACTTATAAGATGCTCTACATAATAAAATTTAGCAAAATCAGAACAATAATTATAAAATAATTTGTAATTTAATCAAGGATAATGTGGATAAAATAATTGATTTTTTAAAAAATAGAAGCTTAATTAATTGATTATTGCTAATTAAACATAATAATATCAGCTATGACAGCAGCAATGTCAACAAGTACTATGATAACACGAGCTGAATCGCCTGCAGCTGTTCCGGCAACACCAGCTAAACCGCCTGCTGTAGCTGTTCCGGTAGCACCAGGATAAAAAAATTCATTAATGTACATTTTAATTCATTCATGAAAAAAATACCTTAACAAAATATCTCAGCAATATGAGAATATAAAGTAATTTATATATAATAATATTTTCGTTTCAAATAAATTGATTATTAAAAAATGTATTAAAGAGAATTGTATGTGTTAGCCAAGTAATACAAATATTTTTAAATTAAATTATCTAAAAGGAAATATTATTAGTACAATATTACTTGTTTAATAAACTTTTTTAAATTGCGAAAAACTTCTTATAGAAACTGTTATTAATTTAAAAAGTTCTATTATCAAAGTTCTATTATTACCATATGATAGAAGACTCAAATCTATTTTGCTTTGTTAATTTGATTTAATGGATTGAATTAACTCTCTCTCCTTTCTCATTTATAATATAATTAAAATATATGTAATTAATAAGAAGGTTAGAATATGCGTAAAGAATAAGAAGATTTAAAAGATTCAAACAATGGAACATCTGTGATGATAAAGTTTATCTGTATATCATGAATTGTATTTTAACATCTTCAGAGAATATCTAATATACGAGATAAGAAGCGTAAGCAATCTTTGAAAAAAATCCCGAGAAGTGAGTAATATGTAATTTGTACGCAGCTTGTCACGTTTGCATTTTTAGAAATATAGATTTCTCGTCTATATAAATAGACAGAAAATTTACATGAGACTATAACGGTTGCAAAGTGCATAGCAAAGTGCATCCAATAATATTAAAGTAGTAACTTCAATAAGTATAGTGTGAAAAAAATGTTACGTTTCAGTACTTGGGTTATTAGTCTGTTGATTTTGTCTAGAACAATTTTGGCGGAGGTAATGTAAATTTGCAATATAATCTTAACTGATTTTAAGTATTTATAAAAATATCGAAACAAATTTTGATACATTTGTATGTATGTGTGCTCATTAAATAATATATTTGAGAATTTAATTCAATAAGTATTTCTCTCTCTAATATTTGTTACGTATTACAAATGCTATTATAAGCTTATTGTAACATATAATAATAAAGCTTAGATACACTTTTTGGAAAAATAATTATTTGTGATATGCACACTATTATATTCTATTTTTTGTCATAAATGTCTCCTTATAATTAGATATATTTTTGTGTCATTATAATAGATATATTTTTGTGTCATTATAATAGAAATATTTTTATTGCTGAAAGCTAAGTGAAAATTTATATCCAGCATACAGTGTATACTTTGATCATCAGATTGAGATCATTCACTTAAATTTTGTTAGAGGTATTTACAGTCAACTAATTTGTAAAATTTTATATAATTTAATTTCATTCAAATAAGAAAAACGTATTTTAATAGCTTTACGATATTGTTTCTATAAAAATTATTATGATTGATAAAATTAAAGCACACACACACACATACCATAAAATAAAAAATATAATTTATTATATCAACCGCCTGCAGTCGTTCCGGGAGCCCCAGCTCAACCGCCTGCAGTTGTTCCGGGAGCCCCAGCTCAACCACCTGCAGTTGTTCCGGGAGCCCCAGCTCAACCACCTGCAGTCGTTCCGGGAGCGCCAGCTCAACCGCCTGCAGTCGTTCCGGGAGCCCCAGCTCAACCGCCTGCAGTCGTTCCGGGAGCCCCAGCTCAACCGCCTGCAGTCGTTCCGGGAGCCCCAGCTCAACCGCCTGCAGTCGTTCCGGGAGCCCCAGCTCAACCGCCTGCAGTTGTTCCGGGAGCACCAGCTCAACCGCCTGCAGTTGTTCCGGGAGCACCAGCTCAATCGCCTGCAGGCGTTCCGGGAGCACCAGCTCAATCGCCTGCAGGCGTTCCGGGAGCGCCAGCTGGTTAAGCTGGTTAAGCAGGTGGTTAGCCTGCAATCGTTCCGGGAGCACCAGCTCAACCGACTACAGTCGTTGCAGCAGTATGAGCTGAATTGCCTGCACCCGTTCCGGCAGCACCAATTAAATCGGATGCAAAACTTTTTCGAAACAATAGTTAAATCGCCTATAACTACTACAGTACCGCCAACGCCTTAACCGTAGGCGGTCAGCAGTCAGTATAACTAAATCATCTACAAGCACATCATTTATGAGCGGGCCAGTTGTGAGTGGATCAAATACAACTAAATCACCTGTAAATGGATCAAATGCGGGCATCCCAAATAGTAATAAGAGGACTATTACAATTGAATTATCTGGAAGCGACTCATCTACAACTCCTAGAACTCCTTCACCCATGGGATAGATAATAATAACAGATAAATTTAATGGTATATAAATACATCAGTAATACTAACAAAACAAATATCTATACAATATAATTAATAACAAATGTATTAATATTTGTTGCCGTAAAATTATTAATTGTTTCCGGAAAAAAAGTGTTTAAGTTATTTTATACGATTTTTATATATTCAACATGGTGCATTTATCCAGAATTTGATATTTGAAAGAACATTTTTTTATTATTTCTGCAATTTCGAGATGATTAATAAATATTGCAATTGTGTATTATTCGATTGTGTGATTTTTATTAATCTCGAATTAATAAATATTTTTCGTTATAATTAAACAATGAATAGTATGAAAATACGATTAATTGTATACAAATACGTTCGTATGTTGTACAATAGATGTCGTAGTATATATTCTTCAAAGATTGTATTACAAAAAGATTTCTTCTCTGCATAAGACCACTGTTATAGAACGTTGATAAGAACGATACTTATATTATCGGCATTATTTTTAACATTTCTCGCCGTTGATAAAATTCAACAAGATTTTTTATGATAATAATTAATTTTTTTATCTTTTAAGATATATTTAAATTTATTCTAAATATTTAGATATAATATATTCAACAGGTAAAATTTTTAATTAAATGGACATATAACAAATAATTATATAAAAAAATATTTTACTTTCAGTTAATTTTGCGCACCCAGAAAATTTTTGCTGTAGTTGCAATACCACTTTTTTGAGTGTATATATACGCTGGAGCAAGATATTTATAATTTGTACGATTTAGTTTAGTCAGTCAGAATTATATATATTTATATATATTTAAGTTGAATTATATTATTATATATTAATATACATATTATAAAAAAATATTTTACTTAAAATAATTTTAACAAATAATTATTTATCATTTTATATGGACATGCATACGCACGTCTTTTTCTGATTTTTCTATTTTTGAATTTATACGCGTATTATCGTAATGAGTCTCTTGTAAAGATTATCGATGTCTTTTAGCATATTTTGTGATATTTTATCACAATATTTTCAGTTCAATATATTATATTTAGAAACCGTAATTTTCTTGCATTTAATAGAAAATTATTATAAAATTTGCATAATACAAGACTTATCATTTATAAATTGTAAGCATTTCTTTTTTTATGGATTCTATTTATACGTATCTAAATTTAGATAAATTATTTACATATTAAAAATTATTAAATATGCTAAATCGTCATGATAAGAGACACTAAAATTAAATACGACAATATCGGAAAGGGAAGAGCGAAAGTCATCAATATAGAAAATAAGACCTTGCTCTCGTTGTGAAAGTAATGTCGGGCACCCTATTACGAGAAGCTTACGTCCTCTCACTTTCTGCGTATACACACAATGAATTGTTGGCGAATTGCAACAAATGCAATTTAACGCCATAAAACGCAAACCCTGTTAACACATAACGTCCGCACAATGAAAACATGTAACATTTTCACATCCTTATACCAAAGATGCAACTCGAAAATTTCTTGTTTTTGTGTCGTCGAACTATATACAATGCACTTTATTAAGCAATATATTTAACTTTTTTTATTTAACTAGATATTAAATTGTGATATAAGCTTATATCAGATATGTTAGGTTACTTATACTGTTTCTACATATTCCTTTTCAAAGTAGCATTTATATTATATAATTTGAAAAATGCTGTCTTGAAAAAAATATATATAAATATAATACGTGTGTATAAATCACCTTATTTTATATAAATCAATCATGTACTTTAATAATAGATTTAATTAAATGAAAAAAAATGGAATGTTTATATAATAGAGTTATTGCCGGCGTTAAAATGTCCTAAAAGCTTTGCAATTAATCAATCTTAGCTTACGCTATGAGTCACTGAGAAATGAGTTCTAAACATATGGAGCAACCAGGATACAATAATGCGGGATACAGACCAGTCTCGACTTGCGTGAATCACGACGGTCGGCATGCGAAAGAATGGGAATACTGGGGTACAATACAATACAATAGCAAAGTTTAACTGATATGAAGCAGGATATTGAAGATATCTTAACCTGAAGAATAAAAATATGATTATAATTTAATTAACAAATATAAATGAATAGTAATACGACGAATTTACTTGATGCATATCTTTAAAAAAACAATGCTTTTGTATAATTTACCAGACGAAGATGATATAAACTATACACTCAAAAAAATGTCTTGCTGATATAGGTAGATTTCTAGGTGTCACAACAAAAATTTATCGCTATTTTTTGTATCTGTTAGAATATTGTCTGTTACATATAGAATTTATAGCAGCAATATTCTAATATCTTCTAGAAAATTTAGGTCCCATTGCCAAATGTTAATCACTGCATTGGGTAAATATGAGTTTCGATACTACAGCTAGAACGATCTTTGTGAGAAATATAACTGCCAATTAAAACTGCATCGAAAAATTGAGAGAAATTGTTTAAAAGAGCTAGATAGATTGGGCGCATTATACAAATATGTTATATGTGAGGATTATATATTCATTTGTTTCTTGCCGCTAATTTTTTCTGTGTACCACAGTCAAACTTTATAACAAGTATGATTGGCCTTAACATGGATAGGCGCCACAGAAAAACATTCTTTCTAAATTTCACAAACAGTTCAGATATAAATTCTGTCTCTGTCACTTAGATTGATTAAATGCGAAACATATGCGATATCACAGTATTTGCTAATTATTTATGTACCTCAGTTAATTTTGCGCACCCAGAAAATTTTTGCTGTAGTTGCAATACCACTTTTTTGAGTGTATATATACGCTGGAGCAAGATATTTATAATTTGTACGATTTAGTTTAGTCAGTCAGAATTATATATATTTATATATATTTAAGTTGAATTATATTATTATATATTAATATACATATATATATTTAAATTGAATATTTAAGAATGAAAACTAGGTCGAAATACGTAACAGCACACATGGGTCACAAATATCTCGTTCGTCCTATCTGGCTCTCACTAATTCTCTATCTAACGTCTCGGCATGATCGATTATTTTGCTATTGTCTGCGTCACGTTTGGGATTTACTTGAGACAAATGGTCTATTTAGATTTTTATCGATCAATACGCGAAGATAAATGTGTTCTATTTCCTTTTCTTCAGCCGGAAATGTGCGAGAGAAAGCTTCAATGAAGAATTGCGTGAAGTGTGAAAGCGTTCACGGTACGATTTAAAGGTATTGGCTGACTCTGCAAGATTTCGTGAATGTACGAATTAAATAGTTGGATTAAGTTTGTGCCCGAAGTGTCCGCCCGACAGAGAAAATAAATTTCTTGATTCTCTTTAATCTTGAGTCGCATTAATTGATCAGATTCGAACAAAATAAAATTTAATTTTAATTATAACAAATTCAATATAAAATTAATAT